TAAGTGAAAACAAGTGGAGTCGAGTTTCACAGATGTGAGTTATCGGTGAATGGAGGTGAAGTTTGAATGGCACACGGTCACGGATTCATTGATGTTATCTTCTTAAGTGGATCTATTCAGGGATCGTGAATTATTATTATTATTATTCATATTGAAATTTCTCTTATTAAAGAGTGCTTTGGGATCGATTTTATTGGCATGTGAATTTTTTTTTCAAACTTTATCAATTTGAAAGTTATGACATTCAGAATGACAAATGGAAAATTGTAAATCATCGTATGAATAAACATTTTCTTTAGTGCAAAAAAATAATGGATAGATTATAAAAAAAACGAAAACAAAATTATTTTCACTTACGACGATCATGTAATCAACGTGATACGATATTATTACGAACAACTATTATTTCCATAATGCTTTTAATTAAAAAAAAAAAAAAAAAGAAAAATACATCGTCGTATATCCGTGAATTAAAATTATCGCGATATTGATCAACAATTTCCATTATATAAAATTATTACACTCATTCAACTACTTCATTCATATCCTTTCTTTCTGGATCAATGTTATCTCTGTAAATCTTATTTCGAACGAAATAAACTCGTATCTCGAATCTGGATATCCAATTAACAAATTCATTTATCTATTTAAGTGAAAACAACGAGTGTTGGAAGATATTAATTCCGTTGAAGAAATTTTAATAATTAATTCTCGAGTTACATCCTCATTTATTAAATGAAGTTCATCTAGATCTCGCTCCTCGTATTGAAATTAGCACGGAGAATGAGCATAGCGTGTGTAGCAGTTAGAATATCAAGTTTATGGAGATTGAAACACCGTATTGCTTATTAATAAATTTTTCTACGATACAAAGTAGAAATAGACTTTTGAAAGTGTTCGAATCGCTAGCTTGGAAATTTATTTTTCAATCTGTTTCTTACCAGTTTTATTCTTTCTTTCATCTCGAATAACAAAATTCATTTATTCGTCAAGGAGGGGGCACGAGTTTTATTTTGAAAATAAGGAAAAAAGATATCGTTGAAAAATTCCAAATTACAGTCACCATTCTAAAACTTCGAAATTTAAAAATTTCGAGCCATAAGTTGGAATAAATATCGGACACGAAATAAATTTTTGGACGGCTTTATAATAAATTTTCCATTATCTTCGTTCGCAAGAACGAAGAATCCAAAGAACGAAGAATCGATCAGAAGACATTTAAAAATCGACGATTTTCATCTATCTTATCCCATCTTCGCGCGCGAAAAACGAATCCTCGTCCACTTTCCAGGTCAATATCCTCCAACTTCCGCATTCTTCACGCATCACGTGTAGGAAGGCGTGAAGAAAAATTCAAGAAAAAGGAAAAACTCCGTTGTTCAATTTAACATTTAAACAATTCACTTTACGATTTGCAATACATTTTGCCGCGGATATTATTTTAGTTCGATTTTAGAATGATTTTGATTATCGATCGATCGAAAAGCGCGGCAAAATTAAATTTCGTTCAGAGCCTCGTCGGTAAGTGAGTCGACGAACGCTCGAAATTTTCGCCTCTTTGTGTGCATGTATGCCCGATAAAAGGATTCGTGAGCCATTTTTATCGAAGAGAGCTCGAGGACGAGGCTGTTATCGAGCAAGTTCACGCCGATATTCATTTGTTCCTCGCGGCCCATTGCGCGCCTTTTGCCACGCGATCAATCGACGCGTGCTGTTAATGGTGATAACGATTCCATGAATTTGCGTGGAAATGGTGATCGATCGTCTCTTTGCAGGTTTGTTAAAATTTGGCCGTTGGAAAGTTTTAGTTTTTTTTTTTTCCAATACGAATCTTTTGGAAGAAAGGAATAAATTTTAATCGAGGAGGTTAAAAATTCGGAAAGTGAGAGAAATATAAGAGTTGGAAAATTTGAGACGATTATATAATTCGAATATATTTCTTTTTTTTCAATTAATTCGAAGTAGTTAAATTAGATTTGAAAATTTGTGAATTTTTCAAAGTGAAAATTGAGATTTTCGAAAGATCCGAAAATACAAGAATCGGAAAATTCGAATGTATTTTTTAATTCGAAGTAGTTAAATTAGAAAATTTGGATCTACCCTCGTCCAAAGATCTCCATAACTCCGATCATCGAACCAGAATCGCAACGAATTCGTTCAACGAGTGTCCCATTCATTCCGCTCAGACGTAAACGCTCGAAATAATTAAAAATGTTGCGAATAAAGCATCTCCGTGTCGTGAAAACGGGTGGAAAACCCGACTCCACGGCTTATCCTGTAACGTTCTCTTTCGTATCGCGTGCTCGTTAACGTGCTCGTGCGTTTTTTCCTCTCTCCATCCTTCTCCTCCCTCTCGTGAAAATATCCACAATTTTCAACCGCGAAATAAGAAACGAGAAATTGCTTTTGTTTTTCTTTTTTAAATTGTGAAAAAAATTTCGCTCCTTAAACGATTTCGGTTAAAATCATGGTCGATAAATTTATTAAATTCATTCGTTACAATCGAAGCTTATTTGGGGATGAAATATTAAAATTTTCACTCGTTCAAAAATTCTATCTCTGAAATTTTAATCCCAAAATTATCTATTTATTAATTTTTCTTCGTTTTCAATGTCAATGACTTCAATGTGATTATTTGTAGATTATTTTATAAGGAATTTATAAAGACTTTGTTTTTTTTTACGCAAAAATATGGCTTTCTCTTTTTTTCTTTCTCTCATTTTTAAAAGGCAGTATACGCGTTTCGCGACGTACACGTTTGAGAAGGGAGATCGATGCGTATTCGTTCGAAACGGACAACATCCTCCGAGCGCTTCCGGTGCCGCAACCTAGACGCCACACGGCTTCCGGCACGCGCCGTAATCGAAGCTGATGCACCCATCCAGAAGAAAAAAACTTGCTTTCCTCCGCGCGTGCAAGCAATTATTGCTTCGTCGATCATCGTTTTCGTGGATTTTTCGCTCCGCTTTTGAATTTTTCCGTAGAGGAATTTGTATCAAATATTAAATTAATCGAAAATGGAGAGAATCGAAAATAATCGTTTCTTTGTTACTTTGTTACTTGAGTTCTCCACGATTCTTTATCTTATATTTCTTGTAATTTTTATTACACATTCGATAATTTCAATCAAAATGTCACTAAGATTTATTGGAAACCGAATTTATCAAGGTTGTACATTTAGGTAATCCGTACATAATCACAGAATATATTTATAAATTTTGTTAAATGGAAGAATGATATAAATCATAAATGCAAATTACGTGACGGAATTTATTTCCGGATTTATTTGCGTGGGACTCCAAATTGAAATATTTCTCGCGCATTAATTTAAAATTGTAAATACGAATTACGAAATGATATTTCAAAAAAAAAAAAAAATTAAAAACGAAATCCCGTATTTTCTTGCAATCAATTTACGTTTAATGAAAAAAATAAAAATTATTTTAGCGATAATTTAATTAATAATAAATTACGAGAGACAATTTTCTAGAGAATGCATTCCGAGTAAAATAAAAGTATCTTTTAAGGAAGAATTTCAATTCTCGAAACTCCGATACGAAAATAAAAAAATTTTCGTACAAATCAAAGACCCACGACTATTCCTTTATTTATCAATACATCGATTTTAAAATTATTATTTCAAAAGGATAATGCTAATAACAATACACGCTCCAAAAATTATTTAAAAAAAATTATTTTCAAAAGAACCATCGCTCTATTATAAATCTCGTCCTCTCCAAAATTATTTATCCAACCGAATTCGTTAATTTTGTTAATCGAATCAAAAGGTAAAAGTTTATTCAATATTCCAAGCAAACAACAAAAAAAGAGGAAAGAAAGAAAGAAAGAAAGAAAGGCTAATCGGATGTCTGAAGAGCGACTAAAAGTCGTCATAACTTTCCCTTCGTTTTAACGACGTGTATTGCTTTTCATTCAAAGCGCGCCACTTAAAGGCGATGGAGACTAAGCAACTGTCTGCAGCATTAAGCTATGCATATTAAGATCCACGCACCGTGGTACTTACGTGGCAGTTAGGAGCGAATTATAACGACCTAGATTCGCTACGAAGGGAGAATGGACGCATTTCGCTCAAAGCGATTGGTGTGGAACATGCAAGCCAAATGTCCAGCATTTCCAAATATCAAGATGTACCCTCTCAGATGTAATCAACAAACGTAACAAGATCACGTTGTTTAATATTTGATTGGATCGGTACATCCTGTATTAAAATTAATCCCGTGTGTAATTGATTATTGAACCGAATCTTTGATTAAAATTTTAATTCTGGATAATCGTCGAATTTTTACAATCCTTTCTCAATTTCTGTATCAGTGATCTGAATGCAAGTACGAAATACGCGATTTACGAGATACAATATTCTCGAAATGTTCTTCTCTGTGTTATGAATTCTTGTTATTCCAGCTAAATCTATTTATCTTCTTATCCGCGAACAGGTCTCGAAATGTCTTCTGGATATTCCCCATGTGGAACCCTATACAAGTGCCACTAGAAACTTTCGGTATCGAGGGATTATGGAAAGTTTTCAATTAAACGGCCAATCCTGAGATTGCACGAAACGAGCATAAGAGGAGCCTCCAATCGTTTATCCAATCGTTTAGAGATCAAATATTTTTAATACGAAAAATTGGTGCAATTGTAGAACTGTAGAATTGTGTGGAAAAATAATTTTAAAAAGAAATAGAATCCTTTCCATATCTTTCTCTCCTGTAAGAACAATGCGGATCGTAGAACTGTATGAACTTGCAAATTAATTGCCAAAATTCTAATTTAACTTTGCACTTCAAACTTTCTTCAAAACTTTGTGACATCACTGTGAATTTTGAATGACAGATTGTTTGATCGTTTCTGATTATATAATTGAGTGCAAGATACAATGTAAATTGAAAATTTCTTGAACAGAGTCTAAAAAGGAAGAAGAAAAGAAAGGAAAAAATAAATAAATGAATGAATGTTAATTGGATAGCTGTATACACGGAGAGAGTTGTTTGGACTTGTTGATTTTATTTTTGACAAATTTCTGAGGTGAATTTCGGTATGAAAAATTGACGACGTGCTATTTTGCACAAAAAAAAAAAATAAATAAATGAAAGAGAGAGAAATGAAAAAGAAGCGAAAAAGATCCCCGAGGCGACAAATTAATTCGAGCTCGGTGTATAAATAAAATTACGAGCTAATCTAATACGACCTACTTCGAACTCGTTCTCCAAGACGACGAAATGATTTGTTAAAATCGTTGCAATTCGTTCCGTTTCGAAATATTAAAATAAACGGATAAATTCTTATTTGGAAAATGGAAGTGAAATGAAGTAAAAAAAAAATTCATTCCGAGATGTTCGTTAAAATTTTAATTATCAATTCTACTCTATGAATAAGCTTCCGAGAAAATTCTACAAATATTATTAATAATAAATTATAAGGTATAAAGTAACAATCCTCGAATCGAATGATTTTTCATTCTGTCGTTATTCGCCATGAACATTCGAATCAAAAGAATTTATCGAACGAGAAGATTTTCTTTCTTCTGTTTTAATCCTTTATTCACAAAAAAAAAAAAGTGGACCAAAGTCATAGAGAATATGACTGGAAACATCGTTTCAAGTTTCAAAATTCACGTCCCCTGATCCGTAAAAATAAAATTTGTCCACTATATAAGAATACGAATGGTCGAATTGATTTACATATCCAATAATATACTTTCAATCGTGCAATAAGCGGATCATTCTCAACCGAGGCCGAAACGAAGAACGAAGAACGACACGCGCGATGCATCATGAAACACGCAGAGATATCCATTAATTAAAAAACACCGAAAGAGTTCTCGTAATTATGCTGACAAACATACGAGATGCATTAATTAATGTACGGTCTCGGATACATATTTATTCATTCCGTGAAACGATCGATATAGGCTAGTAGCCTAATTGAACCGAACTTCATTACCCGCGAACACAATAAATATGATATTTTATTTATTTGAAAATATAATTGGAATCTATTGTTGGAAAGATTTTATTCGAATTTCATCGAAACACATTTGTATCTTCGATAAATATTTATATTTTGTTCTTAATATTATCATTGATGACAAAGTTATCATTTCTCGAACTTGTAATTAATAAGTAAGTAAGAAAGATGAGAGCAGAGCAACGAGTATCGTTTTGAATGAAATAACATAATGATAAAATTCGATCGTGAAATCGTAATTAATTCTCGCGCGCGAATACTTTTTATTTTTAATTTATAATAATCTAGAACTCAATCTCATTAAATATCACTAATAGATATTCACTAATATTTACCAGTATTCACCAGGGAAAAAGAAAATCACGAGATACTTCTTTAATAATGATAAATTAATTACGTAATCTTAGTAGATATTAATACTAGGGATCCCTAGATAGTCACTAGTTATTTATTAATATTCGTTAGGGAGAAAATTATACGGAAGAAGAATTTTGCAGAATAATTTAAATTTTTAAATTGAATCACATCAAAAATATCCACAGAGTGTTCAAAAAACGCGATCACTGAATATTTATTAATTATTATCCATTAGAAAAGATGAGGTATCTACGAAAAGAAAATTTTCTCGATGCTTTGAAACTTTTTGCTTGGATGATGTATTATTCAATTTCATCTTACAAATATATAGACGACACCGAGAGAACAGGATGCAAGTATTTTTCGATACTTTAATTTTCATATTTCTCATTATTATAATTTCCTTCCTATCATTTTTCAATCAAATATTTATACGTTGATTTTTTTGATTTTTAAATTGAATTTCTGTTCGCGTACTTTCTTCTCAAGTGAAAGAATTCGCGTAGGGGGCGCGTAGAAAACGAAGGATCGTGATCGAAGGTGATTAATTGTTTCTCTGTCTGCTGAGCATGACACGTCCAGATGAAACGTGAACAGTGTGTTTAACTATGAGGAATAAGAACGAGAGATCTGATGAATACCGAGCACGAAAATTCTATTTACACTTTCTTGAATATGAACGACACGGAACACAGGCCGTGAATGGCCTTGCCTTCCGGTGATCTGGGTCAGGAAAGTGGACGTTCGAAATCGAAATTGTCCTCGTATCAATGACTTTTTTGGCCGATCGATTCCATTGAAATTCAAATCGTCGATTCCCAGCTATTTAATTTTCGAAACAATGATATCGTAGCTTTATTATTTCGATAAGCAAGAATCAATATATTAAAATACTTGTAAAATGAAGAGAATAGATAGAAAAGGTTTAATTATAATGATAAGAAATATGAAGATTAATGTTAAGTAATTTTAAATAAGTATATTTAAATCATCCTTGGATGGATTAAAAGATTAATGATGAAGATAATAATGATGAAGAAGATAAACACTCAGATAAATACGTATGCTACATTATTATTATTAAAGTATCGATAATAACTATAATATAGATAAATAATCACTGACAATAAAAGAAAAGACAGTTTAAAATTACAGATAACTAATAAATATCTATTAAGAAACTTCCAATGAATATAATTATTAAAAAAAGAAAATACGCAGACACGCATCATATCCGTACAAAGAAAAAGAAAAATATTAAATTACACGACATTAAAGAGGATCGATACACCGTTTAACGAACATCGTAACGAAATCCGGAAGACGGATCAGGCGCCATATTGCATCCTGTTTCATCAGCCAAGCAATCGTTCGAACATGCTTAGATATCTATCGACCATTATTTCTCGCCTCTCGCGTTGTAAATTGAGGGAAACGCTTCTCGATCGCCGGTTTCCCGCGCGATGACGACACACACCTCCTCCTCCTCGACGAGGTAGATGCATACCACGTGTGTTTCGCGGTCAATGGGGTTATGAGACGGTTATTAGGCTGTTAAGTGGGCTGTAATTGGATTCGAGAATATGCATGAAAATGTACAAGTTTCAAAATCAATTTTCGTAGATCGTACCTCACTTTTCACAGAGGTGAGTTTTTAAATATTGTAAAATTTTTGCTTCATATATATATATATATATATATATATATATATATATATAGTATATATAT